CCCAGCACTCTGACAATGGAAGTAGGCAGATCTGTATAAGTGGGAGTCTATCCTGGTCTACATAGCAAATTCTAGGTTGGTCAAGGCTATATAGGGAGACCCTGTCTCACTGCCCCTCCCCCTGAAAAATATATCAACGGAATAATAGGCGTTCCAGAAAAACATGGAGGAAGAAATCACCGCTATAATGATTTTTAAGTTCAAAACTGAAGTGTGTGTGGAGTCTGTAGATTTGAAAGCACTGGAAGAAGTTTGAAGTGCCAAGAATGAAAGGCCAGGACCTTGAAAGCCATTCCGATGAGCTTCAGTTTTCATGTGTGAGCATGGAGGAGCCAGCAGAGATTTAACAAACAGAGACTGTGTATTAAAGGAGGGGGTGGGAGTGGGATGAACAAAGGGATGGACAGGAGAATGATGGCAATGAGAATGGTTCCAAGGATCTCTGTAGAAGAACGCTGAAGCCAATTCAATCACTATTTAGGCCTGGGGATGTAGCTCACTGGTAGAGCACTTGCCTCACATGTACAAGGTCCTAGATTGGATGCTGAACACTAGAGAAGTGAAGAGCTGTTTATCAGGTGAACAGAAGCACTGAATCAATAAAGTAAATTAGACGAAAAGCAAGTAGCTAGTAGTTTCTAGATTTTTGTTGTTGCTTCTTTTTCAAGACAAGGTTTCTCTGTGTAGACCTGGCTGTCCTGGAACTCACTCTGTAGACCAGGCTGGCCTCAAATTCACAGAGAGCCGCCTGCCTCTGCCTCCTGAGTGTGGACTAAAGGCGTGCACTACCACTGCCCAGCTAGTTTCTAGATTTCTAACTTGGACTATGTGGTGGAAGTTGAACTTTTGTTGAGATTTTGTTTGTGGTGATAGGGTCTCACTATGCAGCTGTCTGGCCTGACTCACTAAATAGTCTTGGATGACCTTGAACTCAGACCCAGTTGCCTCTGCCTCTCAAGTGCTGGGATTAAAGGCGTGCGCTATGCCCTGCTAGAAGTTGGAAATTTAAAGAGAGAAATGGAGAAATGACAGCTCCTTTTCAGACATGCCAGCTTTTAGAGTCCTTGTGAGATGTCCAAGTGCAAAGGGTCTGAAATTTAAGAAAATGATTTAGGGATGGGAGAATTTGGCTGGGATAAGAGAAGGAGGGTGTGTGTGTGTGTGTGTGTGTGTGTGTGTGTGTGTGTGCGCGTGCGAGCGTGCGTGTGTGTAGGGGTGGGGTGTCTCATGGAAGAAGACAGGATGGCCCAGAGCAAGCCTATGAAGCTGGGGAGGGGAGGGCAGGATAGAATGAAACCGCTGGTCATCAGTAACCAGGAGGACACATATGGAAAAGCAAGCAAAGGAAAGTGCATGGCACATGCAAGGCTTGGGTTTGATTCCCAGCCAGGGTGGGAGGGGTAGCAGGAAGAGGAAGAGAGATTTAGTTTCAATGTTGCGATCCATCATACAGTGTATTTATCTTTCGTTTCTTTATGGTTTGGTTTGGTTTGGTTTGGTTTGGTTTGGTTTGGTTTGGTTTGGTTCTTCCACACAGGGTTTCTCTGTGGCTTTGGAGGCTGTCCTGGAACTAGCTCTTGTATACTAGGCTGGTCTCCAACTCACAGGATCTGCTGCCTCTGCCTCCCGACTACTGGGATTAAAGGTGTGTGCTACCACCGCCCAGCTGTATATTTAGTTCCTTAAAGATTAAATGAGAGAAGCTGAGTTTAGTAGTATGTACCTGTAGTCCTTCTACTTGAGAGACTGAGATGGAAGTTTTTTTGTGAGTTTGAAGTAACCTGAACTATATAGAGTGAGACCCTGTCTTTAAAAAAAAAATTGTGGGAGACACCCAAACAAGCATAACTAAAACACAACACTCGTTCTGCTGTTGGCTCTCAGCCTGTGGTCTGTCTATGGTAGCAAACTGTTGATAATCTGTTGGGACTCCTAGATAGTGCTGCCTATGCCCCAAACCCAGCATCCCTCCTTTGCCTATTCCATAGGGGCTCCACTCAGCAGAGCTGCGGGGCCGAGGGCCACTGGAATGGTGCTCTTTCATTCAATCCTTTTCTAGAATGCACAGGCATTGCAGAAGGATTAGACACGGGATCGAACTGTGGTCAAGGACACTCCCATACCTGCAACTTCAACAGTCACTAGTCCTAGGAAGTCTTGTTTTCTAGCCCCATGTGTCAAGACTTCTTCATTTACAGTCATGTCTCAGGAGCTCTTGAACCTCTCTTGCCAATCCTGTTTACTTGGGGACACACCAGTCCTGCTGACAGAGGTAGACCCGGATGCTGAACTCAAATGCAAAAGGAGTCAGGTTCTCTTACAGAGGGTATCTGGAGGTCAGAGCTGGTCCATGGGACTGGCTCACCAGATGACAGTGAAATTTACCAAACCATTTACCGAGCAGGATCTGACCTGGAGGAGTCAGCCACTGAACCACAGAAGATTTTTCTGCATGTTACAGGTTGGCTGTAACTGCAGCGGGGTTGTAACTGCAACCTGCTAGGGAGCAGAGAAGCATGGATGATGAAGGATGCAGGTCACAGCTGCTCCATGAGGGCTGCTGAGGTAAGCACTGCCAGGCCTCCTCCATGATGTCAAAACCCAGCTCACTGGAACTAGGATATGATGTATCTTTCCCCTGTTGCCTTTCAGCATTCTAGAGCACTATTAAAAAGACTAATACACATTAATCCAGCTGCCAAAACAGAAATGCTGACAGTGTCCAACTCCAGAACACAGAAGGGTACTTTGGGCTCTGTGGAGGATTAAGTTAGTAACTGTAGAGTCTGTCCCTTTGGCTTCTGTGTGTGCACGTCCAAACCTCCAGACAATAAAGAGAGTGTTTCTGCATGTAGATGAACTTCTCACCCTGTCCATAAAATGATGAGATGAACAGTCCAAATAGTAACCGTAGCCATCATTTGCTTTACTAATTACTCCTCAGATCAAACAGGGTCCCTCTCAATACCCTGCTACTTAAACAATTACATGAATTCAGTCCCTACTACAAAGATTTTAAAGAAACAACTATAAAGTTAACCTCCAACAATTAGTATAACAGTAAGCAAAACATGCTTTTTATTCTAACCTCACAATCTACAGTCATACTTTAAGACCCACTCAACTTCTTCAGGGGTCAAATAGGTCTGTTAAATTATAGAAGGGACAGATACCAGCATCCCAGCTTGTTTCAAGTCTTTGATGATGGCATAAACACCTGCAATATCTGTAAGGGTACAGCATTGCTCCTGGTCTAATATTTTGATAGGGATAGGTCTTTCTGCCCCAATAATCCTCACAAATACGTTATTCCAATTGCAAGTTCAAGATCCGAGGAAACCACCATATAGTGTATCTATGGACCAACCTGTCTCACTTTAAGCTGAAACTCCACCTATCACACACCATCAACATCTCCGGTTGTGAACCACAGTGTCATTTTCGACCCCCTGGAATGATGCAAATATCCTCCAGGTGTTGGTGTTGCCATTCTTCTAGTACACAGGCTCTAGTAAGATTGGAAGAAGATGTGTGATGCATTCTTGCAGTACAGCTGTAGGACCACTCATCAATGGCAATAATCCTCCCACTCAGCCAAGGGACTCAAGCTTGTGAACTGGCTCAAATCTATACTCAGTGAGGGGGCACAACTCACCATATGGTAAATCAAGCCAGGTTTTGGACCAAAAGAACAAATTGCTCATGGACTTAATGTCAAGGACATTGTGACCAATTGGCTAAAACCAAAGTTTCCTACAGACCTGCTAAAAAGTAAATGCTTATTCTTATACTCTGAAAATTTCATATGTTAAAGCCCTAACCTGCAATGTTGTGGGTAGGTATGGTAGGAGATAGCTCAGTTGATAAAGGCATTGTTGGCAAACCTGATGACTTAGGTTCGATCCCTAGGGCTCACATGGTGGGTGAAGAGAATTAACCCTATAAGTTGTCTTCTGACAGCCACTACATGTGAGCATGTACACAGACACAAATAAATAAAATGTAAGAAAAATTAAGAGGTAGGACCTTTGGAGTAAGTAGGTCCCAAGAATCACATTCCCATGAGTGAGATTTGTCCACTTACAATGGAGACCCTAAATAGCCTTTCCACGTTTTCTGTCATGTTAGGACACAGAAAATAATAATAATAATAATAATAATAATAATAATAATAATAATAGGATAATAATAATAATAATAATATAATAATAATAATAATAATAATAATAATAGGAAGAAGAAGAAGAAGAAGAAGAAGAAGAAGAAGAAGAAGAAGAAGAAGAAGAAGAAGAAAACCATCTGTGAAACAGAAAGTGGACCTGAATAGATCCCAAATCTGCTGGCATCGTCATCTTGGACTCCCTAATGTCCAGAAATGTGAAAACACTTGCAGTTTAAATTACCCTGTCTATAGTGTTCTTCTTATGGCAGTCCGAGTGAACCAGGGCAAGGCCAATCGCTCTCATGACTGATCATGTGGCTGCTTGCCTTGTCTGTCATGGCTAAGTGGATCTTGACATCAGGATCACATCCTTTCCAGTGAAACCTGGAAATTCAGTTCAAAGGCAGCATTTGCCTGCTCACCTGTCTCACAAAGGAAAACCATACAGATCTCTAACACATTTTTCTAGACCTCCACAGGAGCTACAGTGGGGAGACAAACACACAGTTTGCATATAATAAGCCCAGTCCAACTTTCCTTCAGGTTTTAGGTTCCCTTTTTTACTTCAAACCTGTAAAGTGTTGGCATCCTACCACCTTTAAAAACATGTCAGAAGTAAAGGCAGAGCAACTGTCTTAGTTTGCTTTCCATTATTATGATAAAAACACAAGGACCCAAAGCAATTGGGGGGGAGAGAGGGCTTATTTCAGCTTACAGTTATAGCCCATCTTAAAGGGAAGTCATGGCAGGAACTCAAGGCAGGAACCTGGAAGCAGCAATTGAAGCAGAGGCCATGGGGAATGCTGCTTACTGGCTTACTCCTCATGGCCTACTCAACCTGATTTCTTACAGCACTCAGGATCACCAGTGTAGGGGTGGTACTGCCCAAATTCCAGTCCTCTGCAAGAGCAGCAAGCACTCTTAAACACAGAGCCATATTCCAGCCCAGAAAAATCAGATTTTAAAATATAAGGTTTGGTGGTTGAGGACATATTCGGACCTAGGAAAGGTGACTATCACTTTTCTCACAGAAGCCAGAGCTATGAGTAGATAAACATCTGTAAAGTTACCCATCAGCACCGGAGAACAGGCTGAGACTCTCCTCTGCTGCCAGAGCAGTGCTGACTTCAGCATAAAGGCATTCTTTAGCTGAGAAGCCCTGCTGCTCTTCAACCATGTTCACTTTAGTTAATTAGGAATACTAAAATAACATGGGAATAATTTTGCTAGCATAAAAGAGCATGAATAAATTATATAAAAGCCGTGAGTAAACAGAGCCTTCGCATTAGCTTTTCACAATGGTTCCCATCTAAACGTCACAGACTTGAAAAGGCTCCAGAGTTTGGTGTGATGGAAAGAATAAGACTCAACTGTGCCCAACCACACTTCAGATGTGTAATTAGCTGTTGTGGAGCAGACAGTATGCTTCAGGGTAAGGGCTTAGTTTCCCTAAAATCTATTTGGGCTATGTTATTAGATGTGATTAAATAGATATAAGGTGTAAATAGCTGACTGAAGATTCAGTGTAACCCTTGAATAAAATTCCTTTACGTCCCATCAGAGAGAGGTGTGAACACATATCCCAAGGATTCAGAGAGTAGACACTCTCACCAGAATGGGAAGAACTGTGACTTCCCCTTGGATGCATTTAGCCTCTCTGCCAAGGAAGACAACCACATGCTATTATATAATGCCTGGGCTACATAGTAAGACCTTGTCTCAAAAACTGGCAACAACCAAATGAAAAGAGAACACTCTCCAGGTTTCCATGATGCCATGTTCGCTGGTCTACATATCATTTGCTACACTCATCCTCTGTCAGAACTGACAGGCTACTTCTCCTAGGTGATCTCAACTCTTCCTTTTACAATAAGCAAACATCTGAAAAGATTTATGATGATGAGCTGGCTTAGCAGTTAAGAGCTTTTGCTCCTTCTGTAACTCCAGCCCTAGGGGATCCAAATCTCTCTTTTGAAGTACATGGTACACATACATACAAGCATGCAAAACATTCATACACATAAAATGATAAAGTGAATGAACCTAAATTTTAGAAAATATTTATGATTTATTTTATATGCATGAGTGTGTCTTCGTGTATGTATGTGTGGGCACCCTAGGAAGCTGGAAGGGGACACCAGTTCCCCAGAGCAGGAGTTACAGGTTGTGAGCTGCCTGATGGGAATCTAACTCTGCTCTTGTGCAAGAAAAGCAAGCCCTCTTAACCACTGATGCATCTCTCCATCCCAAGACTGTGCCTTTTAAATAGCTCTCAAATACATACTAGCTCTGGTCTCCCCCAGTCCAAGCCATCATCTCCTCTTCTTAGACTCTGTCCTAATAATCTTTCAACCTTCAGTCTTCCTTTCACACCTCTACTCCTTCCCACACAGAAGAGTCAGAGTGGTCTTTCCAAATTCCTCTTTGATTATTTTCTCTATCCCAATCCAGTCTACTTAAAAACATCTACTGATGCTGGGCAGTGGTGGCGCACGCCTTTAATCCCAGCACTTGGGAGGCAGAGGCAGGCAGATCTCTGTGAGTTAGAGGCCAGCCCGGTCTACAGAACCAGTTTCAGGATAGCCAGAGCTGTTACACATAGAAACTCTGTCTGGAAAAAAACAAACAAAAGCAAATCCCAGTACCCTAAAAGTAAAATAATACTCAGCGTGGCCTATAGAGCTGACACATCTTCCGCAGATGGTTTTAGAACTCTCCCCCTCAACCTCTATGGTCCAGCTTTACCAAAACAAATATAGCAGTAGAGTCTTCCAGAAAGCAGATACAAAGGGAAATTGTGGAAATAAAAGATTTCTTGCTAAACACTGGTGTTCACCCAAGAAAGGAGGAGGGTAGAGGCAGGACTGAGTAGGGAGAGCCCAAAAGACTGCAATGCAGATTTGTCAACATCTTTGGCAGTTCAGTGGAGTATTCTGGAAGGAAGATGGACTATCACAGGGGCCACATTGAGCAGAAATTGGTGGGGTTTTGTATCCCAGTCTTGGTTAGTGACTCGGGCACCTGAGAACATAACCTCCTCTGAGAGCCTGAGATGGAACTGAAAGAGTTAACAACCAGATGGTGTCAGCTGACCTGCTCTTCAGGGTCCTTGCTTCAAGGGACAGCCACTTCAGTGTCATCATAAGGGTCACATAACAATAGCCCTAGGAAACCTAATGGATTTAACAAACCTCCCTAAACAAATGACATTTCAACCTAGGCCTGCTGTGTCATTTAAAGCTTTACAGAGAACAGTGAGAGGGTCCCAGACTCAGGGAGCTCTAAGTGGCAAAGATGTAAAGTTCTTGAAGGAACTGAACAAAGATACAAAAGGCACACGTGCTTGAACACCAAGTGTTTGGCAGAAAGTTGCCTTCTACCGTGTTCAAGAAATGACTCTTGAAGGCTAGGTCAAGGCACTTACTGAATTTGATCCCCAGAGCTCACACAGTGGAAAGAGACAACCTTTGGCTTCTCATGTGCACACTGGGATTAAAGTCAGGCCTCATACTCATTCGGTAAACCTTCTAACTAGACTGAACCATCTCACCAGCCCCACTACAAATATTTTCCATGTGTTCACACTGATGTAACTTTTATGATTCAGTCATCTTTTAAACTTAAATGTGAAATATGATCGACACTAATTTAAAAAAAAAAAGCTAGTGACAAGTTCCTCACAGATTATAAGCAAGTAAAAGAAATCATCCTCAGAAGCCGACATATCACACACCTTTGATGTAATGTGGCCAAAGATTGTTGTTTGAGACAGGGCTCCTGTAGGCCAGGCTTATCATGTAGCCAAGAATGACCTTGGATTTGTAATTCTCCTACCCGCTCCCCAAATTCTCGGATTACAGGAGTGTCTCACCAGAATATGTGGTGTGGTCAAAGGTTTAAGAACAAGAATTTGGGTCACTATTCACAGCTGTTTCACTTTGGGGTTCACGTGTACCAGCCCATGCCAACAGTGAGTAGAGCAAAGCTGAATCAAACCTCCACTGTACTCTCAAGGAGAGTTGGGGCTTTATCAGCATTTTTCCCAAACCTCCTTCTGGGCTTCACAGTCGTCTTTCTCTACATTTTATTCTAATGTTTCAAAATTTGGTAGCAGCCTCAAGCTCTGTATCTCTGATAAGGTCCTCCCCAGGGCAGCCAGGGCCTTATTTCACTCTCCCTTTTGCTCGATGTCAAGACTCAGAGACTGTATTAGCTGGCTACAAAACAGATTCTTGAGATAAAATAGAGACAAACAAACACCATAGTCTTAGACATCATTCCTTCTAAATTAGTGAATTGTTATATGTAATTCTTTTTTTTTCTTTTTTTCTTTTTTTTTTTTTTCCGTTTTTCGAGACAGGGTTTCCCTGTGACTTTGGAGGCTGTCCTGGAACTAGCTCTTGTAGACCAGAACTCACAGAGATCTGCCTGCCTCTGCCTCCCAAGTGCTGGGATTAAAGGCATGCGCCACCACTGCCTGGCTCTTATATGTAATTCTAACCAGCTCATCAAGTTAATTTTATTTTACTTTTATTTTTTTAGCTTAAATGCAATTTATTTAAAGATAATCTACATGACATTTTTTTTTCTTTGAAAGCAATGCCTCCACTCTAAATACATCACAGGCAAAATAAAAGCTCAAGATAAAGTCAGCCCCATTTGTCTAAATTCTGATGTTACATGGGTGATAAGCAGCAGTCAGTCATGGTGACAGGTGATAGATCCAAAAAATAATTGCCCAGTTTGTCAACATTTTCTTCTTTTAAAGAAAGCCATCCTTTAAAGAAAGCATAACTGGAGTCACACCATATTCACAGTAGTCCAGGAGAACAACCATGCCACCTGGACTCATGTTTTCACCAATAAAAATTTGGTAGGCATTGATATTAGCAAGAATGTGTGCAGCCCCAGTCATGAAAGGCTTTACTCTTCCTGTGTGTATCCTTCAAGTTGGCCTTGGAGTGACAATGATTTCATGCAACCTTTGATGTACTTTGGAGGCCTCTTTTGTGAAGCTGGTTTCTTGTGAGAGATGGTTCAAGACAATATCAATGCAGGTGACTACTGTGCTTTCGGTACCTTCGGCCTCTGGCTTTGCAGGATCTCCACCAATGGCCAAGTCTTCAATGTTACCCTCTGTTCTACTGACCATCTTACCCTCCCTCCCCCAGGCACAGCCCATCCTTGCTCTCCTGGATCTCGTAGCTATCTGAGAACCACTTGTTGTGGTTGATAAGGTCCCAGTAAATGATCATGGTGGCTGGAGACAGCAGCCCAGCCAGCAGAATGCAGCTAGAGAGCCACTGGGGGCAGTGGAGAGTGGGCGGGAAAGCTTATCAAATTAATTTTAAGTTCTGGAAAACAAATGGCAAGTTTTTTTGCTAATGAATAAAGAAGGTTAGCCCTTGACAGGAACTTTATTTGTTTTGGACCCAGGGCCTGATTCATGCTAAGCAAGCATTCTTCTTTTAAGGTTGATCCTCAGACCCACAGAAACTGTTTTACAAATCTATTATTAAAATGGCAATTATTGCTGGCGTACACCTTTAATCCCAGTACTCTGGAGGCAGAGGCACGTAGATCTCTGTGAGTTCAAGCCCAGCCTGGTCTATAGAGCTAGTTCCAGGACAGCCATAGCTGTTACAGAGAAACGGTGTCTTAAAAATAAATAAATAAATAAATAAATAAATGGCAATTATTCTTCTTTCGGGAAAGTCCTATGTAAATGTCCTTATCTCTATAAAGTGAAGTTTAAGTCTCACCCTCTCCTTTGCAAATGAGCTAGACTAAGTAGTTCTTTATGAATGGGTGGTAGCACAGGGAGAGGAGGGGACAGTAGTAAATGCAGATACCCGGTAAACACTAGCTTCGCCAAATGATGAAGGTTAACAGTATAGGTGGTGTTACAGTCTTTCATAACTCCTGACAGGATTTAATGAGAGGGACACTTCCTTCCCTGTGTTGTTTTTTCTGAAAACCTGTAAACCCATACCAGTCACAGGAAGGCATAAGGCAAACACAGATGGGGAGTCATGCCACAGAACGCCTGCTAGTGTTTCTCAAGGGGTGTTGTGGTCATAAAAAACAAAGGAGACCTTCGCCTGCCAGAGAGAAGGCATAGTGATGAAATGCACCATGGTGGTACATTCAGGAGGTTCAGGAGGAGGACTGCCATCA